GACGCTAATGTACATGCGAAATATGCATATTCGTAAGACTAATGACATGCAAATGAAGCCTTGGTTTGTGTCTCTGTCCCCTATTTGCCTTTTTAAGGTTTTCGAAACTTCAGAGTTTGCGTCTCACCCGCTTTTCTCAGTGGCTCAGGGAGGGCTGGATCTGCAACAAGTGAGTATCATTTATCCATGAAGGATAAAATAGGGAGCTCTGCTTCCCACTCTTTCTTTATTTGCCTCTTTCGCCCCTGCATGGAGATGGGAATTCTGTTCCCCTCTATCATTCCTCCTGCCGCATGTTGCAGCCAGTGTCCTCCACACTTGAGCAAGGGAGCGAGACTATACAGCAATTACTGTTTTTAGACATGAGATTGTTTTTCCACTTGACATTCAGTTCAAGCATGGCTTTACCATCGATCCGCTGTAATTGTATTGATTTTTGTTGAGAACTGAGTTTTGACTTGATTTTGTAAATTTGTGTTAACTTTGCAGGTATGAAATATAGGGTGTCCCCCAAGGCCGTAGCGTTGGCCCTTTTATATTCACATTTTACATTTAACATTTTAAAAGATTTAGCAATAAAGACATTTTTACCCCAAAACACTTACTTTTCTGTTTTCATGTAGCTCACATACAAAATTATGAGCTAAAAAAATAAATAAAATAAAATAAATAAATACAACATATTATAAAATGTATGCATCCATATATTTTGTGAGGAACTGACCAAAATTTAAGTTGATTTTTCATCTTACTTGCTAAGTTTGCAAACAACTTAGCTTTGAAGTGTATAATTTACAGGGCGGGAAAAAAAATATCACTGTTCTTTAACAGTATGAGGTGCTTATCACTGATGTTTCTGTGAGAAACATTTATTCTGGATGTTTTAGTTACAGGATACTCTGCTGCTGTGGGAAGTTCATTTGAGGATACTATGATGGTGTGAATGACTGATAATCTCTCGACTTAATGTTCAGGTCTTCTGGGCAGACTGTTATCAGTGTATATGTGCAAGTTTTACTAGTTAGCAGTTAAACACAGTGGTGAAAGAATGTTTATCATGGCCTGGAGACACAATATTAAGGGTAAGACTTTTAAGTGTGCATAAAAGGAGTATTTCTTAAAAAATAACATTTACCAACCTTTATGTGATTGCAAATCTGTGAGATTTTTATTTTTCTGTGAAACCCAGAAGAGATATTTAACAGAATGTCTAAGCTGATTTTATTTACATAAGCGCACATTTGCACTCAAACGGTGGTTCATTTATGAGACGTGAGAACCAGTGGCATTTGTTGTCACTATCAGACCTGGAATATCATATGTGTCATGCCAGCAAACAAAGAGCTATGGCGGAGGGCTAACATTTTCAGTAAAACAACTAAAATTATGGTCTGTTCCTCATACAAAACTGTTTTATGACTTTAGAAGTTTTATGGACTACATCTTTGTCCTTTTTTGAGATTGACATTCCCTGGTCACTGCCTGCTTTCGTTGTACGGAAAACAACCTCATGAATATTACTGAAATCATCCTGTGTTTTGAGAGTGAATTAATGATGACAATTTTCTTTTTTGGGTGAACTGTTCCTTTAAGTGTCAGCCACCTCTGACTAATGCTGATGTGAAGGCTAAAAAGGGAACCATGTGACCTTCCAATACACACACACTCTACCTCAAGAGCTGTAAGGACGAGGTGTCAAGCCCGAGCACTGACATTCTCTTAAACGAGCAGAGATAAATGCTGTCTGCCAGAAGACAGGGGACTGACATCACCACAGCTCTCGCTAATGAAGGCACCACATATGTGTGTGTGTGCATAAGGATTGCGCTGCGTTAAGTGGCTCAGCCAGGCGATTAATGCTTTTCTACATTATCGTACATTAGCGTTTTGAGCTCAGAGAACAGGAAGGAAAGAAATATGGAAATGACTGAAATGATTAAAGCTCCACCTCCTTTTTGCTAACTTAAGTCCTTACCCGGTAGCTTTTGAAACCAAGTAATTGTTCAACCAAATGAAATTCCAGTTTATTTCCTCACCCTCATTTTGCTCCTAACCTTTTTGAGGACTATCAGGCTCCAGAAATAAATTGCCATTAAAGAGGTCCATATGATTTACGCGCCATATTCCAAGTCTTCTGAATCATACATCACCAGAGAAGTCATTTTGATTTAAACATTACAAGATCAATATAGATCCAAATGTGAACATGCATTTAGAAAACAGATATAGTGAATTTTTATTTCATGCCGACTCTAATCTTCTCCTCGGCTCTCAAATCTCATTTACATTCAAATGACACGTCCAGGGGCCTCATTTATAAAATGTGCGTACGCACAGATTTGATCTTCGAGTGTGCGTACGCTAAAATCCACAGCAACGTTCATATTTATAAAAACGGTCTTTGACGTGGAAAAGTACTTACCGCCACGTCAGTGTCTGAACAGGCGTACGCACTTTTCCTTGTGGCAAACTCGGAGTACTGCAGCTATTTGAACATCTAAGCTGCAATAATAATAAAAGCGGTGTACTTGCCAGCACTGAATTCATCATAAACAACAAAGATGCAGGGTAAGAGATTAAATGTAGTCAGATTTTTTATTATCGGGAATTTTTGCGAGATTAAACTGACCTTTTTAGTAGCCTAATGTTGAGAGTTCTTTACTCGCTTTCTGTACACAGTTTATTCCATGTTGTTGTTTTTTATTATTTTATTTTACCCGAGAAATTGCAAAGTCTTGATTTACTACTAATGCATAAAATAGAAAAAAAATGCATAAACGCATCTCCAACTGATTTGTCTGTGTAGCCTATAAGAATAGGCCTATGTCGTGCAATAACGGTTTTAATATATTCTATTCAATAACATTGTTAACTGTTTTTATTTATCTGCTGCTTTGCTTCTGTGAAAATGAATAGAGACATCAGCCTTAAACTTTGTTTTTGTCATTTACATCAGTTATATTTGTATAAAATGCACTATATATTTTAGTGTCAGTACATTAATGGCACATTTGAGCAGCATTAGTAAACTGTGTAAATATAAAGAAATGCCAAATCACATGCAGGTTTTTTCAGACCGGAGACCATAATAGTGTAATAATTAATTTTATAATGATATGAAACGTCCTATTTTTCTTTCAATAATGTTTTTTTTAAGTTTTGCAAGAATTTCGTGATAAACTTTATTAGTTGTCATAGTAAGTGATTTTAAAAGTAGGATGGCTCACCTTTTATAAGATGATTGAAAATTTTACTTGAATTCGTAGTTTATTCTTACTTTTGGAAACCTAATTGTTTTATAATTACTACTACTACTACTATTATTATTTCTGTTGTTTCTAGAAGTACTAATTTTGATAAGTCAATAGAAAAAATATAACCACACACATTGTTTGTCCACAGAATAATTACACATTGTTAAATAAAAAGCGTCCCCGCACGAACCTCTACCTCCGCCAGCAGGACCTCAATTTCAGACTCAGTAAAGTTGTTTTTTTCTTTGTGCTCGTCATTCTCAAGCATAGAAATTCAAATATTGGCGTGTGCTCTTTCATATGGTAATGATATTAATTAGGGGGCATTTACAAGGCAGAGATCTGACACCAGTCAGCTACGCACAATTTCAAGATCATTTGCGATTTATAAATGTCACATCTGGAAGAAAGGTATACGCACGTGTTTTTGTGCGAACGTTTGTTTTCTCTGAATCATGCTTACGCACTTTTGAGAAATTATCTTAGAACAAATTTAGGACGGAAATACGCAACATTTTATAAATGAGGCCCCATATGCGTTGTCAGGTTTGAACATAAATTGCGGTCTTTGCTCACACAAAGCTGTTGTATTACTTGATATGTCTTGGAATATAGTGCTCGTCTTAGTTTGCGATTGTGTCCATAACCTTCTAGTTTGCAAACCCCTTTTTTGTGCTCCATAGAACCAAGCAAGCTGTATTTTTAACATTTTAAGCACAAATTGAAAAGGGACAGGAGGACAAACAATAAAGATAGCAAAACAAAATGGGAGCCTATCAGAGACATTGAAGGGTAGGGGTGCCAGTCACGTAGCAAACTCTGAGCTCACCTCCGGAGACAAGCTAAATCCGTCCTGACAAAGAAGGGTCATGGTTTTTTCCACCTAAACAATGTTTGCCTTGAGAGCCGTGACCAATCTTTTTTTTTTTTATTAACTTGGCTACCAGAGACACAAACTAGGGTTGCTCCTCAACATGGACTGCCATTTCTGCATCACTGATCTTTTTTTATTTTATTTTCCATTTTATCCTCCCTCGGTTTCTCTCTCTCCATTTCTCTTCCACGTGTTTAAACTTTTAAACAGGCTTATGCAAGAGAACCTCTGGGAACAGCACACAGCGTTCTCTGTAGCTTTTGCGTCTGGCTATTTGGCTTCTCATTCTCTTTGATGAAGAAGCCTTGATTCAGAGATCTTCTAGTTTCACATCTGTCCCCTTTAGAAAGTTGTTGAATTATAAAGGTGGGAGGGTAGTCTAGAGGGGTCAGAGACCCCCTAGTTCTGGCCTGACCAGTTGACAAGTGCCCAAATACCTTCTAAAATCAGGCAACAGAAAAGAGAAGACCAGCAAACAACTCTAGGCTTGTATGTTTATATCTTGTATAGATATATACCAATTACATATCAACATACATTCATAATTTAACAGCTTCAATGTTTAGCGTGTGCGAAAGTTATATACCTCTTTGAGGGTTCAACATTTCTTTCAATAACATTAGGCAGTTTTGATTTAAATGCTGTTAACTGTTTGATGATAGCTTCTACTGCTTGTTTCCTGATCTGAAGTTTCTGTAGAAGATGTGCAATAGTGCCCCTTACCGTAAAACAGTGAAAACATGGATTGCCAGAAAATTCCTTCAATGGTGGTGAAAGAGTTAAATAGTTATGATGAGATTAAAAATAATTATTTAATAATATGTTCTAAGTGTATCTTTCAATTTTAACACTTGTTACTATTTCTCTTTCAGGCTTATACTGTACAAAACCAATACGGCATTCCACACTCAGAGGTAAGAAGCTTTAGAGAGAATTTCTGAAAACCATCTTCCATACTGCATAACTTCCATTAGTTGAGTGTTATTTTTGTGAAGTAAATTAGCTTGTTTTACAATTGTGAATGAACTATACAGTATGGTTCAATTCTCAGCTGTGTCTTCTGATAATAAAACCCTTTCATACAATTGAAATGACATTTCCCTCCCATTTTTCTTTCTCTTTGTTTCTCAGTTGGCCAAGTTGCACCAGTTGTCCATGCAGCACGGTCTTGCCCCCATAGCTCAACCAACGGCCACCCCAGTTCTGTCTGGTATGTTTTGCCAATCCGAGTCTCTTTGAAGAGGAAGATAATGGTTGGGATGGAGGCAGATCACACAAATTATGGGTTAGACAGTGGCATAGACTGTAATCAGCTTGTTGCCACCTTGGTCACACAAGCAGGATTCCCCTTTTAAATTGTTCACTGGAATATGGTGTAGAGGTGATCTGGTTATGTTTTCAAAGGCCAGAAACAGTGTAAATGCAAAAGGTAGGTTATTTGTCCATTTGGTTAACTTTTACTCTACTTCTAATCGGTCTAAACTTCTTATAGAGAGAACTCTAGTGCAAAAACACCTTATATTTACCCAGAAGCACAAGTCTGCTTTAGCAGTGCTAAATCTCCTCGTACGGTGAGCGTGGATGTGACACAATTCCACCTGAGAACTCAAGCTTAAGTACATGGAATCAAACAGACCTCCCAAAGACCCAGAGGCCACCCAAGTTCAAGGTAATACACCTGAGCTCCATGGAGCATACTGCACATGCATATTACAGCTGCAAAAATGGGGCCAAGCTTTACAAGGCTCCACAGTCAGCTCCTGGGGCTTCTCAGAGCCATGACAAATGTCCAGCTAAAGAAAAAGGAGGGACTGTCTTCTTTTCTTGCGCCTTCACCTTTTTTCCCTTGCACAGAACCAGACATCCAATTATACAGCCACCCCAAGATATTCAGCGATGTCTTTCAAGTTGTATGGAGTTTCCCAACATTTGCCAAAGGTTTTGTTGTGTAGGCCCTCTAAAGCCAACAGACTGTTGAATATTACGTAAATAAGCACTTTTGGAGCAAATGTGAGAATCAAAAAGCCCCTTCAAGGAATTGAGTGGTCGAAACAAATGTAATAGTTGCCCCCTGCCGCTAAAACTACAAGAGCACATCCTATCATGATATGGCTGGGGAATTCGATTATGTCTGAGGTAAAAAGCTCATCAGTCAAGGCAATGTTTCAGTCTATTAAATAGGCCCCTGTTGGGTTGGGAGGCACTGCTGGGTCTGGGCCTCCTGCTGAGACAGGAAGTAGATGGAAAGAGAAACAGGCTCGCTCTGTGCCCATCCCTGTTGAAAAATAAAACCCCAGCATATGCTGGTTAGGTATGTTTTGAAGCATGGCTGCTGGTTTGAGCTGGTCCTTAGCTGGTCATGAGCTGGTTTAAGCTGGTCATGTGCTGGTCCTAAGCAACTAGTTCCTGCTCAGAACCAGCACATAACCAGCTTAAACCAGCTCATGGCCAGCACTTGACCAGCTTAAACCAGCTTATGACCAGCTGAGGACCAGCTTGACTGTTTGGAATCATGACCGTAAAATAGGGCATTCTAAGTCCATCTACTGCATTATTTCCTCTCTCAATTGACTATCTGGATATGAGGGTTAAGGGTATCCTGGTTAACCACCCTGACTAAGCTAATGGGGACTTACTTGAGCTGGCTAACCTTGTTCTGAAACAGGTTATACCAGACTAAAGTGGTCAAGCTGTTTTTTTATTTCCAGAATGCAAGGATAAAGAACCTTTATGATTTACACACCATATATCATTTTAAAAACAATTCCAGGTCATCCCTCCCTAAACTCATGCCATTAGTTGAGCTACTGTTGCTATGTTGATCCAGTTAAACAGATTGCGATTTGGTTTGATGCTGCTGATTTGGTACAGTCCTTGCTTTTTAAATAGTCTGAATGAGTTAAACATTGGTTTTGGGCTGTAACTTCATCGTATCAGTGAATTAACCAGAACTGTTTCACTGTTCTTCCTTTAGGTTGTTATTTACAATGAACATACAAAAGAGTAAAGGGAGAAAGAAAATGCGCTGTGCATGATGGGTGAAAATAACACATCCTAAGATTACTCTTATCCACATAAGTTCAGAGGAGCTTCTGTCAAATATAGAAGAACACAAATGCTGAACAAAAAGAAAGGGAAAGAAAGAAGAAAGCAAGCAGTGAATTATACCATCGTTTGTTAACTTGGTACCTATTCCTCTTCCAGCAGGTATCGAGTCCAGTTCCCAGACAGCATCACAAGAACTTCTCATTCCAAATGACGTAAGTGCAAAAATGTATTTTTCCAAGTATCATATTACTCATGCTACTCATTGATATCCTGTACAACAGCACTTTTGCTTTAGTTATAATGCTTAATTATGTTTATGTTGTGTGTAATTATGTTTATGTTGTAAAATCTTTGTTTTAGACTTAAGTTAAGTGCTTTCTGTAGAAAGCCTGTTTTTTTTTAAGAGCACCTCTCATGACACAGTTTGGCCATACAGAAATCCTGAAACTTTTCTTTCAAACACACCGACTTGTGTCTTTATATCTGTCCACCCCCTGCTCTGCTAGAAGAGCTTCACAAGATCCAGTTCAATCCTGTCATGGTGTCTGACATTCTTAGCACTCCTCTGCTGTCAAAACAGAGACGGTAAATAAAGCCAGAGCCTTTTGTCAGAGCTCTAGGTTGTGGTGCAGACCCCGCACCCCGGGGGCCAACGGGACGTTCCCTTCATGCCTTCTGACTGGTGCTCCCTCTCGCCTCCACGTCTCCCTGAGATCACAGGATTAATCGACTGGCCAGTTGTGGATTCTGACCATACTCAATATATACATTCAGCTCCCATTGTTTTGTTATTTTAAGCCCTCATGCCCAACTAGTAATAATCTACAATTAAGGCAGCAATGTTAAATGTTAAAATGGTGCTTTTCACATAAGTTTGTGTATTGTCTGACTTTTCCCATTATCTCACTCTCACACCAGTTAAACAGTTTATATTCTAAAAAGTCATTGTAATGTTCTTTATCAAACTGTTTTTGAAAACAATTGCATGTCCTATGTGAACTACTACTTATTCATTTAGTGTTGTCAGTAAATGTAGTAAGTGATTGTTTCAAAAATTATTCTTAGAATATGCCAAGTGCTCTTATACAGATGAGTGTGAAGCTTACATAGTGCTTACATCAGCATTTTTGATTTCTTGCGCAGCTGTAATGACTGAGTGGATGCATTATCTAGAGTAATTCCGTAAAAGATAATTCATTGACTACCTTGATGCACATGAACAAGAAACCAGCTCTTATCACATTGACACCAGCTTCAAATAAATCTTGACTTCCTGAATGCATTCAGTAGGTGCTAGACCTCATTTCTAAACCTCAACGTACATGGTAAACTTCAAAGAAGCTTCACCAATTTCTCCAATCAAGGGCTAATTTAGCATGATTGTACATTCATATTCCTGCGTAAAGCCATAAACAAGGCAATGGAAAGCATGTATTATTTAAATTCCCTCACAGCGATGCAATTCCAAGGCAAGGCGACATCAAACGCTTGGCAGACTAAGTTGTTTATCATTCGCAATCAGGTTTCGCTCTATAGAGGATTAGTTTCTCCATGGTGAACCATCCCTCTAAATCAGTAGAAACACGTCGCAATTAGATTGGGATCAGATCAGTGCTCTAGAGCGCAGCAGTGGATGCGGAGACTGCCCTGTGAGAGGTGGTATCAACCATCAGCGATACCAGTTTTAGCTGGCAGGAAATGTGTTCATGCTCCCCATACTTTCAAAACTACGACCTAAGAAGTAGATTCACCTAAAATAGATTCACCTCTTCAGCTTGACTAGGGTATACATACCTGTCTCTCGCATCGGACAGATTTGACCCCAAGCATGCACCTTGATTTCAATGGATACAAAGAAATCAATAAAACATAAGTATTTGTTTGGAACTGGTAAATTTGACAGTTGGGGGAGGGTGTGTGTGTGTCAATACTTTGCTTTATTGATATGTTGCTGGAGGATGGATAATTCAAAGAGTTCAAAAAATGTAGGATATCAGTGGGCAAATATGTGGTGCAGTGCAGAGTACATGCTTGAATCCTCTACGTCAGGGTGGCAGTGAGACCTGGCGATCGGCTATAAGCACTTAGCCACAATCAGCTGAGCCATTAATAGTCCCTGGGCACCAGGGAGAGCGGTGTGACGAATCAGGAGCTTTGACGTTCATATGACTCATGAGGAAAGGAATGCTTTGTGTAGCAATTCTTGCTCACATAATCCAACTCACACTCAAGTGAGGGTTGGGGGCTGGGATGCAGGGTGGACAAAATACAAGCTGTCAGTCATTTGAATGACAAACCGTTAACTCATCCCAGTTGGGGTCACTCCACTTTATCATTGTCTGAGCTTGACACCAAGCATTGAGGTCACCCAACCCCCTTGGTCCACTAACTTGTGGACACCTTCCACAGAAGGTACAGTAATCTGGATTCATACAGTAAATTTGGACTGTGTTGGATTGCCTCAAATATATATAAAAAAACTTGATCCTGCCACAGTAGAATGAATTAGTTCACCACCTGCTCTTGGTTTAAACTGACCATCTGGATCTGCAGATGCTTGTTACAGAGAAAATGCCATGCACAGACACAGTCATCTTAGGCCCAGATGAACAAACACAACAAACCAACACCTCAAAGTCAACCATGATGACATGCACACAAAGAGAGATTGTTGTCAAGAGAGAAGTGTTTGTCAAGGAAAGCATTAGATACAGGCATGAGAGTGCAAATACTGTCCCTGAAATCAATAGTCACTTGGGCAGTAGGACCAAGTGTATGCCATGTTTATGCATTTCTGGATTGCAGTTGACCAAGCTCCAGGGAAATTATCCTGATGTGGAATCTGAGTAACACAGTTTTAGTTTTCTTTAAACTGGCTGTGCTCTCATAATGTTTATGTTGCAATATGCACCATGACCATTGGTGCCATATCCTGGTCCCTGAGGACCACTGTCCTGCTGTGTTTAACTCCAACCCAAATTAAACACACTTGAACCAGCTAGTCAAGGTCTTCAGGATTTCTAGAAACCTCCAGGCAGGTGTAAGGAAGTGTATGGACTTTGGCCCTCCAGAGGCTGGATTAGACACCCCTGTCTTAGAGGGGAATAGTGCCAATGATTAGCTGTTTATATATAATATTTATTAAACTGATTGGTCTTTTATTTACCCACAGCTGATTGGTTCAATAATCGGCAGACAGGGTACAAAAATCAACGAGATCCGCCAGGTGTCAGGGGCTCAGATCAAGATCGGCAGTCAACTGGACAGCACTAGTGACCGACACGTCACCATCACAGGCTCCCCAATCAGCATCAACTTGGCCCAGTATCTAATCACATCCTGGTAAGCACTGGAAGTCATTCCATCATAACAGAACTAGGGTGTTTGAACTTGACCACTCCATGTGTTTATGTGGCATAATTAACACCATAATGCTGTAGAGCACCCTGAAGTAGGAGACCCTGACAAAACCGCTGGAATTTGCAATCAGGGGTCTTTCCAGTCCATAGTTTGCTGGCCAAAAGAAGCAGTCTTGAGCAAAAGCACTGCACAACTACAAAGCAAGGAGATGTGGTAGGAAGAAGCCAGGCTGAGGGATTAATTGGCAAAGTTTCAAGCCAGAAGCTTGTTAGAGCTTAAAGGCAGAGTATTTTGGCTGCCTCATAGACAGACTGTAATTTTCTCCCACGAGATCTATGTGGTTGCAATTTGATCAAATGTTGTGTCAGGCAAGAAAGCAGTAAATTCCTGACAGCTCAGTTCCTCAGCGAAGACTTCTCCATCAATGCTGGGGCAAAATTTCATTTGCTAATGTAACAAAATTAATAGTTATGTTCTTTACCCAGGCTTATAAAAATTCTTCTAAATGAGTGAATGAGTGAGAGAATGAGTAAATTAATTCTCCAAATGAGTGGCTTCTTTATTTATTCCCGCATTTCTGTACTGGCTAGAAAATAAATTAAGATTTCTATCAGATGCAGTGTCATGTGCAAAATTATATATTAATTCTTCTAGCATATTATGACTCAGCAGGTTGACAAGAGAGCAATAATTGGGTCCTGAATGAAATATTTATGCTTGTCTCAGGTGTGTTCAACAAGCAGAATGTCAAACTTACTCTGAGAAGCCCCTCATTATTTTCTTTGAAATATGTTACTCAGGCATCCCACATGGAAAAATTACTATGTTGGTTTTGGGAAAGCTTTTGTTGTTTTGTTCCTGTCTTAATATTATTGATTTTAGTGGTTTCCCATCAGTTGAATTCATATCAGTTTGGTTTTGGACACGTGATGGCAACACACGCCGATCCCAGAGCAACCGAAGGCACTCTAGCGTCAGAATACTTCCTTAATGAGTCAGCTCCATCAAGCCATTAAAAATCAAACATGATTATTCATGTCCTGGATGAAGTCTGGAGACGTCACCCCCAATCATTGTCACTCTCGAAGAATACTTCCTCCGAGATAGATGTCTCGTTTCAATGCATTGCATCAGAGCGTTCTGCATATTGAACACACCCCATACTTGATAATGTCCTGAGAAATCAGTTATGCGCCCTCGAAATATACGTTAATGGCAGCGCACCTTTGATTACATGCATTTGTCAACATGGTACTCAGTGCAAATGCATCTTTTTGACGACTTGATAAGAGATAAAGGAAATGCTACTGAAATTGAAATCATTTTGTTTCTTTTCCCAAAGCCCCTACCCAAGCCATCACCCTGAATTAAACAGCTCCTTTCCCATGAGTGCCAAGGTCCCCCCTCAAATAATCTGTTGCAACCACCAGCAAAACACACCTCTCTTATGATTTTTTGTTTCTGATTTTGATTCTTTTTTTATTTCTCTCAATTTTTGTTTAACATGTCTTTTATTTAACCTTCTAACCCTTCTCCATCCGGCTCCCCTCCCTTGTCCCTCCACCCTCCTCTCCTCCACCTCCTTCCTTCCCTCCCTCGTACAGTTTAGAGACCGCCAAATCCACTGCCCAGTCCTCCTCCATGTCGACCCCTGTAGACCTCAACATGAGCTTCACCCAGACTGCTCCCCATGCATCGTCCTCTGCCGCAGCCCTGGCAGCGATGGGCGGCCTGCCCCATGCTCCAATCTTGGGCGCCCCCTATACCCTCCCCCTCTCCAGCCTCCTGGGAATCAAATCCGTCCCCTTCCTGACACTCTCGGCCCCTGCTGCCACCGCCGCTGCTGCCCCCACCCACGGCACCTTGGCCTCCTACACCGCCAAGATCTCCTCCGCCAACGGCATTAAGAAACCAGAGCGACAGAAGTTTTCGCCCTACTGAAGAGGAACTACTGAGTACCTCCTTTGTTTCCGAGAGAGGAATACTTTGAGGGTTCTTCTCTTCTAGCCTGATGTAGCGGTGTAGAAACAGACAGTACCAACTTATTTTCTTTTTGGTTTAGTAGCTTGTCCTGAAATAACTGTAGGAAAATAATGGCATACATTTTAATTATTACTTTTTTTTGGCTGAGGTAGCCGCTAAAGCCATAGACTATTCCTAATCTCCTTTTTTCCCCGAAATCTTTACACACGTTTATTGTCTGCTCTTATTTATTGATAATAACGAAATATTCCCGCAAAAAGTTTATAACGTAGAACAATGTTGACTGATGCTAATCTCTTATGTATCAGCTTTTATACAATGATGTCTGTGAATGCTTCTGTATACAACTTCCTGATTTTTTTTAGAAATCTTTAAATGATGTATTAAAACAAAATATGAAAAAAAGGAAATGTTTTTAAAAATGACAACAGATCTAAACCTTGCTTTTGTGTTACATTTTTATGTTTTGTTCACATTCGTTCTGAAATGTTATTTATTTTATTTATTGTGCGGAGTGTTTCTTCTACAGTCAATGTTTGTTTTCTGTAACGGCTGCAGGTAAAAAATTTTTTTTTCAAATTCCTTCCATAGATCATGGTTGCATATGTCCTGAAAAAGACACACGTCTAAGTAATCACGGACAAAATAGTTAAGTAGTGCGTTTCTTTACTTTCTATGGGAAGTGTATGGTGCCACGGTGAATTCTGGTGTGATTAAATATCCAAATACGAAACAACTAGCAAATTAATTTCAAAACTTTGGCTAGCCATGGCAGTATATGGACAATATAATTTCAGGGGGTTTCTTTCACCATTTCTAATGGCATAAAATGACTACTATGCATGGTGACTGCCCTTGTCGGAAACTAATGCTGCATGTTGACTTGGCCCCTCACACTAGCGAAGATAGCTAACGCGTAGGTCTCTGTCGATGGCGTTAAAAATAGGCAGTGTTGCAGAAGAGCAATATTGGTTTGAAAATACTAAAATATTCACATATAGCAGACCTACACATAAACATGCTTCAAGTGTAGCTACAGTAATCATTATGCTCGATCACAGAGTATATTACATGGACTGACTTTTTGTTTGGTTTTTTTTCTTTTTGTTTTTTTAAAAATAGAAATAATCACTTATTTTTCTAAACCTAGAGTCCTAAAAATGTAATGTGACCACTCACATGATTCATTCACTTGGTAGATGTAGTGTAACCTTGACTCGTGTTTGTCATTTTTTTTCATTAGCGTAATTTTTTGTTTTGTTTAGATCTTCTCAAACGTCTTTCTCACACTCATTTGCATGAATTTAACTTGGCGTCTATGCAAAACATCTCGGGGGCAGTTCAGCGAGGTATCCTATGTCATGCTTCATAGATGGCCCTAAATAAACCACCGTTGGGAAAGGGCTATCGGCAAAGGCGGAACCCAAGTCAAGGACAATGATGCTCTCAAATTTATGAACCATGCTATGTATAATATATATATATACATAAATATATATGTTCTATTATATCCATATTTCCCATTCCAAAGCCTAACACATAACCACTGTTTCACACACTATACGACACAGTGTGACTATGATAAACACTGTCACACTTCACTGCGATAATTCCACGATAGCCGGACATGGTTTGAAAACTGTTCAGATGCTTGAATTATCCGAGGTCTGGTTTTTGGATTCACATAAGGTTTCGTTTGTCAGCCTTGGCATAAATGCAACTCTTGTTTTAGTTTTATTCATCAATGCCATACAAATGAATAAAAACAATACTGTATTAACGTAATCCAGTCTCTTTTGTTCTTTCTCAGCTGCGTGAAATGAAACAACATTAACATTATTAGCTGAGTGTGAATGCTGTGACAATGATTAACAATTCAGTCTTTTTTTCTTTTTTTTTTAAATAGGAAGTTTAGACCTGTAAAAGTGTTTGGACTTAACACCTCAAATAAACAAGCAATTAAAACTTAGCCCTAAGGTACAATGTGTGTTTTATTAAAGCAATAATCTACTCAAGGCCATTATATTGCAGCGATTTTATCATGGGTAAGGGGTGTTGATAAGGTTAGGCATGACACAAAGCCCCTTAACTATGGTAAAATCAGTGTGCTTTATGACCTCCAGTGTGATGTTGCTTGCATAAAATGGCACCAACTGTAATATAAGACAAGCAATATTCATTTTCTTTACTGTAATTTTCTTCAAAATCAAATTTGTGAGTTGAAGCTTGCCAAATTTTTATTCAAAGCAAAATTTCCTGGCATAATTGAATCAGACTTTAGACACAGAGATATGAAACTTATTGCTTATTAATTATTGCTTATAAGTATAAAACTAGCCTATATAAGTTTAAGGTCAACATGAAATAGAAATTCACCCTGTCTATTTTCAAGATGCATCTTATAGATGCTTTTGCATTTGCAATTTTTAATCAAAATGTTATAACTTGATCTTCCAGTGAAACGGCAGACTTCTCTCTGGTGACATATGTTGGACTTCTCCAATTACTTTGCCCACTTAAACTCTGCCACTTTATTAAAATTGACTGCAAGCTCGCATTTACATCCTATTCAGATTGCATTTTCTCCTTTCTGACAATTTATTAAACTTACATCACAATATGTTTATGTATGTCACATTGTCACTTCTGTTACATAGCAACTTCCACAAAAAAAAAAGAAAAAAAAGTAGTAGTTCCAGACTGACTCGATTACATCATCTGGAATGTGTGATGAAATTGTACAGTCACTACTGAACGCTTCTGATGCAACTTCTGTTTTTGAAGAAAGTAAACATTTTTGGCATGTTTAAAGGGACAGTTCACCCAAAAATGCCAATTTTGTCATTATTTTCTTCTGTTAAACACAAGATATTTTGAAGAATGCTGGTAACCAAACAGTTTCTGGTAGCCTTTGACTTCCACAGTATGTTTTCCATATTAAGGAAGTCGATGGCTACCAGCAGATTTTTGGTTTCCAACATTCTTCAAAATATATTTTCAGTGTTCAACAGAACAAAGAACTCTCCCTTTAATAGCCGTTGAAATGCTTCACCAGACCCATGTACCATCACTAATCTCACGCTACATCTGTCATGAAACGTTAATATGCTTACGTTAAAAATCAAATCTTCGAATCCGCTTTTCTCTTGCATTCATTATGCAGTCTTAATACCAACACACAGTCATTAGAAGATTTGCCTGTTCTGTCAACATCGACGTTACATTTTTACAAGGTTAGCATCCTCTCAAAAGCTAATTACAAAGCCATCGTGCAGTGGGATGTTAAAATAAGCAGTCTAAGATAAGACATCCCACTTTTGTTTGAACAAGTCTCTGTTGTGTCACTCAGTGCAGACGGTGTATTTTCATTTCTGAGGAAAAGACCCTTGAGACTAGTACAGCTGAATCTCAATAGCGATAGCCAAAATTCATGTGTATAATAAACAAACTCCGCTATAATATCATGCTGACACATCAGCCGCCCTTTCTATCTTACTAACCTGGGCCGAGAGTGCCGCCCATGGCGCTTTGCCATCACGCCACCAAATGCAACGACGCCAGAGATGAAAGCAGTCTATGAATAAAGCTTACACCTCGCAGCAGCTGCTCAAACACAAACAAATTCTTACAGGCGGGGTTTTCAGTCCCGAACGGGTGGGGGTGTGTGTAATGACAGCCTAAACACAGTCTACATCTCTAACAAAGGAGCTCGCCGATGCCCACACGTGACAATCCGTGACATCTTGCGCAAAAAAACAAAACAAGTTTGGTGTCCTCTATTGATGTGGACTGTCCACGGCCTGAGATGGATACTTTACAAGAGTAATTATGCAACGATAACCTCCTACACCCAGCGAGTGGAATAATAATTGCAATTTTCTAACAATTAAAGACAATCCGGAGACAAAGCAGTTGGAAACGGAAGCTGGTAATTATATGGTGATGGCCATTTGGCTGTGGGGGGAGCTGAACACCAGTGGGCTTGGCATGCGAATAAAAGCACATGCTCTGTGCCATGTGCTTGGGGTAAAAAAACATCAAATTGGAATTGAATTCAGAGGAAAGTGAAATGCATCTCACTCCATTAAACAGAAACTAGAGTGTATTTTTAGCCTATAGCTATTCAGAATTATTTAGGGCCACTGTGACCTTCCCCAGAGGCAATGCGAAAGCCTGTAAAATATTTTAAACGTAATAAGAAAGATGGAGAAAGAGAAAATTGCAAGTTCATCTCTTATTAGCAGGCCAAACAAAACATCCAGTTTCCATCACGAAAAACGTCTTGAGATGATAGATTATTTTCCCTATACAGCTTGGCCTGGATTTGCCCTTGGCAGTGTTGTTATAGTATTAATAATATAGTATTTAGAATTAGGTTTTATTTTTAGGTTTGCAGTTTTCATTTTACTTTTAGCTTGTTTTATTTGAAGTTTTATGTGCTTTTTGTGTGTGTGTGTGTGTGTGTGTGCATCAATATATTTATTTCATTTTTAATTTTAGTAGCTTAAGTATTTCATTTGTTTATTTCAGTTTCAGTATTTTAATTTAGGGTTTTCATCTGATATCTATTTCAGTTTTATTTCAGTTAACTTTGAATTAGTTTTAAGTTAACAACAACTTGTAACAACAGCCCTTCATTATCAAGTTGTAGTATATTAGCAAGTCTGTTCTTAAAAAAGGCACGTCTACCAACTTTTTGGCCTATAATCTTATATTTTAAAAGCGAAGTGTGTAATTTCTGTACCACCAGAATTGAACTGCAAAAAATAATGACCACTCCCCTCATCTTAGATTGGCCAGGCAAACAAGCAGCCCCGCCCATATTGTAATTAATATTCAACGAATCTGACAGTTTAAGTAATGGGCTGCCAAAAACGTAAACTTACTGATGAAAGATGCAAACAAGAAAACTCATCTTATATAAAAGCATGCATATTCAGAATTTTCACAATGTTTTAGGCCTAATTATACAACTTTTATGACAAAAAAAAACTATCAAGTGTAGACAAACACCTTATTGTCAGACGCGATCATTTCTATTGACACCCCTGATAAAATAGCAAAACTGTCACATGGTTCTGTGATTGTAATTTACTTGATGTCCTTCACATTTGAGTGACCTTTTGCCTTCAATACTACACACACACAGCCATTTGTTTGTCCAAGGCCAGGGCAAGAGGCATCATGGGATACACAATTACAAGTCATGCTCCATGAGGACGAGGTCTGGTTTGAGGTTCAATGCAAAATTAAAGGTTTGTATAATAGCCTGTATTTCTCCAAGATCAAAAAAGAAGATCAAAGGCAATGAATGTGGATTATTAATTTATTTTCTGGTGACCTGTTAATGAGTTGAGTG